AATGTTCTGTAAAGGGCATTTTAAAGGACCTCTTTTTCTTGCAAGAACTGAAAAAAGAATTGGCTGATTGAGCATTGTGCTCTTTTAAGAACTCTGGGATTAAATTGACAACAGCAGCTCGAAAAGTAGGAAATTTAGGGGGCAGTGAGTTTATGTTAATAGAGGAGGAACAATTTGGAAAAGGAAGGTGACAATGGTTGTACAACTTGAAGAATGTAATCGGTGTCACTGAATCGTACCTGTAGAAATTGTCGAACTGGTGTATTATGTTCGGTTGTGCATATTCTCAACAACAACAAAAAATAAAGGATTGGATGAAAAATCTGGCTTATAAAACTGGAGATGTTGAATAAGATTAGATAAATGGATAACTTTTCTCCATTGAGAGTGGTCATTTGGTATCAAGGAAAATAATAGTTATATGCTAGAAGGAATTGTAGATTACAAAACAAACCACTTAGAAATGAGTCCTTAGGCAGTATTTTTCTAACTAAAACCACATATGTGTCAAAGTGAAATTATGTTTTTTGAAAGAAGATGAAAGAAATTCTATCAAAAATAATTACATTTAGGAGTAAAATGCTTTTTAGAAAATATATTATCAAACTATTATTTAAAATACATGTTTCATTAGATTGAAAACTTCTTTAAGGTACTTGTCAAAAACACTTAAGTTTTATATAATGAATAAAGTGGGAAGTGAAATTGACTCAGGAAATTAAGATGAATTACTTCACAGACATAAAATCAGAAGGAAGGGTATATCTCCATATTCTTTGGGTTAGAGGAAACGGGATTCTTAGTCTTAAAAGAGTAACTGTAAATCGCTTTTGTATCTTTTTACACTTTAAAATGGTACTACATAATTGCAGCCAGTTAAAAAAATAGCACTTTTATCTTCTACTAACATATTTTTCTTTCCTCTTACAGCTGGGAATGGAGGAAGAAGATGTGATTGAAGTTTATCAGGAACAAACGGGGGGTCATTCAACAGTTTAGATATTCTTTTAATTTTTTTTCTTTTCCCTTAATCCTTTTTTATTTTTAAAAATAGTTCTTTTGTAACGTGGTGTTCAAAATGGAATTGAAAACAGGCGCCTCTCTTTAAAACATCTGGTATTTTGAATTCTAGTGCTCATTATTCATTATCATTTGTTTTCATTGTGCTGATTTTTGGTGATCAAGCCTCAGCCCTCTTCATATTGCCCTCTTCTTAAAAATTACACGTGTGCACAGAGAGGTCACCTTTTCCAGGACTGTGCATTTTCAGGCTTATGGGATAAATAAGATCTACCAATGCAAGTGTTCATAATGACTTTCCAATTGAAGTTCTAGCATGTGATTGCTTCACTCCTGGACTATGACTTTCAGTGGGAGATGGAAGTTTTTCAGAGAACTGAACTGTGGAAAAATGACCTTTCCTTAACTTGAAGCTACTTTTAAAATCTGAGGGTCTGGACCAAAAGAAGAGGAATATCAGGTTGGAGTCGTGATGACATATGGTGAGAGTAATGACTAACTCCAAAGATGGCTTCACTGAAGAGACAAAGCGTTTTAAGATTAAAATAAAATTCTTGCCAGAAGATCCCAGAAAAGTTCTAATTTTCATTAGCAGTTAATAAAGTTATTCTTGCAGAAGTGTATACAACAGAACACTGCTCTTTTTGATTTTCTTTGTACTTTTTGGCCTGGGATATGGGTTTTAAATGGACATTGTCTGTACCAGCTTCATTAAAATAAACAAAATATTTGTAAAAACCGTACTAATGTTCATTTTATTTTTAATTGTATAGAAAGAAAAAATAAAATACCTAAAACAGGGTTTTCTTGCATAATACTGGAAGTTATTGTTTGTAATGGTACAAATAAATTTTTTTTTCAGTACTGTACACTGATAACGTTAATGACTTTAAAGCACTGAAAGTTACTGAAGTGCCTTCTGGATCAGGATTTAAGTAAGGCCACAATATCTTCTTAAATACTTAGTGTTCTGTATTTTTAAAAACTTGATAATACTGTGTGGTGCATATATGAGATACAGTTACCCAAACATGTTGAATAAATGTGCATGCCAAAAATTCTTTATTGGTTTATATTAATAATTTCAGTTTTCCCTGTAACAATTTACAAAATGTTCTTTGCTTAGTCAAGGTTTAGTATATTATTGTTTATATTTTCCTTTTATTATATCTTAAATATTTAAACTTTGTGTAAAATTAAAATACCAGATTAGTTCCTATTAGAGGCCTTAACTTTTCCTTTTAACTCTTTAATGAGTCACTGTTCAGTTTATCTCTGCATACACATGATCCAATTTCATGTTATTCCAAATAGAATGTCATCTGACTACTTGGGAAGAGCAAATAAAACATCTCTCTAATGCATTTTACAAACTGTTACAGCTTACATACCCTACTCAAGTCAGCTGTTGAAAAAGAGTTGGCTTGACCATATAGATACCGGTATCTGACCCTAACTGAAAAATTATTTGTATTTTACATGTACCAAAAAAAAAAAACAAAAAACAAACCAAACCTGTTGCCGTCAGGTTGATTCTGGCTCATAGTGACTCTATAGGACAGGGTAGAACTGCCCCAAAGGGGTTTCCAAGAAGCGGCTAGGAGATTTCAAGCTGCTGACCTTTTGGTTAGCAGCCGTATTTGCTTAACCACTATACCACCAGGGCTCCTTTACATGTAGTTGGGGTAAATTCGAGCTTTTAAAGTTAGAGTGTCACCTGGTATTTATCATTACATTAAATAGTGACTAGGAATTAGGCCTGTTTTTAGAAAGTCTTAATGAGTTGCATATTTCTGTCAAGACTGAGTAACAAATCTGATTGGCTATTTGAGCTATCCAGAAGCATGAATAGGTAGTTTAGTATCTTAATTTTGTTTACTTCTCTAAACGTCTGAATACTCAGCATTTAGGCAGTGGGGCTTAGCTACTGGGGAAGTGATTTTCTTGTTTTTAGTTTATTGGACTCTTCTAAGTGAATTGCACTCTGCTGTGGTTAACTTTAAGATGTTCTTATCTGGTGTAGTACTGATAAAACAGGCATTTTACAGCAACAGTATAATAGAATGTCAGATTTGGAAGGGACCTTGAGTAACATTTAGTGTAGCCACTGTATCTGGTGCTTGAATGCAACATCCTAAATTTGTAAAAGGAGGGAGAAAATAAAGTCGGTAATTTCTCCGACAGGGATGTTTTCCTTGCGTATTCTTTTTTCTGTTCCTGAATTATTTGAGATGCTCCTTTCTCTTCTGATTAAGTATTAATGAATGAATTGATTGAATGTGCAAGCAGGGTTGACAAGCTTTTGAAAAGGTTTAAGTGCTATACAAATTCACTATAGCTGATATTATCCAGTGTTTTGGCCATTTTATTTTACATAAAGCAAGGAGTTAAAAATAAGTATCAAATCTAAAGTCTGATAACACAGCAATACAGAACCCAAATTAAGCTTAACTTCTGGGTTGTAGAGGTCCAATTCCTGTAGAAAACAAATGCCTTACAAACATTAATGGGAACTTGGAGGGAATTTGTCTGCAAATATTAAACTTTTCAACTGTGGATGGTAGGGTAGGGCCAAAGGAAACTCATGGGAAAATTCAGGTTCAGATACTGTTTTAACATCCCTTTGTTGTTGTTAGTCGCCTTCAAGTCGATTCTGACTCCTGGCGACCAGTGTGCAGAGTAGAACTGCTCTGTAAGGTTTTCATGGCTGTGACCTTTCAGAAGCAGTTCACCAGGCCTGTATTCCAAGATGCATCTGGGTGGTTTCAAACCTCTTAGCTGGTAGTCAAGCGCTTAACCGATTGCACCACCCAGGGAATCTCAACATCCTTTTAGCAAATATCTTATTTGCTAAAGCTCTTTCATCTTTAATTTTCTTTATTGTATGACAGATCCCTATGTTAAAAGGGATGCTTTATTGTATTTTAAATAAAGGTAAATTAATCAACAGAATCTTCCTGGCAGTGTGATTTAAAAAAGGAGGGAGGTGTATTTTGTGAATCGCTGGTTCTTCAAGGTACAGCTAGGAGCAAAAACTCAAGAGTTATTAATATTCAAGGCTCTAGAACAGTGCTGTCCAATAGAATTTTTTGTGATGAAAGAAACGTTCTTTATCTGTGCTGTCCAGTATAAGTATGTGTGGCTGTTGAGTACCTGAAATGTGGCTAGTGTGACTGAAGACTGCTAAATTTAAATGGTCATATGTGCCTTGGGTGCTGTTGAGTCAATTCCAGCTCATAGTGACCCTGTTGGACAGAGTAGAACTGCCCCATAGGGTTTCATAGGCTGTAATCTTTGTAGGAACAGATTGCTGTGTCTTTTCTCTGTTTGAACCACCAGCTTTTTCAGTTAGCAGCCAGGCACTTAACCATTGCACCACCAGGGCTCCTTTACATCTGCCTAGTGGCTATCATATTGGACAGTGTGGCTCTAGAATTTATACTTCGGGGATGGGCGAATAGCCTTACAAAACAGCTCATTTTGCTCAAATGAGTATTTATCAAATGATTGCAAACACCTTGTTTAAAATGCTAAATTTAGAGTCTCAGGATGAAAAGAATAGTTCTGCCTTATAAAGAGATTTACAATAGAATTACAATAAAACAGCAAGCTCTTTTTAGCTAACTCAGAATTATTTTTATTACAGAATTTCCATTTACCTGCAGTTGTTCAGACACAACATACTGAAATGAAATACTCTGATTATTCTAAGATAGTGTTTCAAACTGAAATGAGCAGTTTTTGACAACTAAGTTTCTGGATTTATGTAGTTCTAGAGAACACAGGATTTAGGTGAGTAAAGAGTTCTAATTGGGTTGAGCAAAGGGTGTGTGTGGTAGGAAGGGGTCTTGGAAACAGAGGTCCCAGGGTAGAGAAAACCAGGTAAAATGGAACTACTTGGGCCCAGGGTGAAACTTCACTGTGAAAGGAAGCTACTGTTTCTATCACCACCTCCCAACTTACTTTTTGGTTTTCTTGCCTTAAGGCCTGGGTATTTGTAGAAACTGGAAATAGGAGTAGACCCATGGTCTGGAAATGTTGTGTGTCCACTGCAGGCCGCTGGCTTCCTTTTGGAGCTCTTCATGGAAATGAAGATGTTTCTCCAAAGCAGCTTTTTGCCTAAGGAGACAACCCCACCCACAATCCCAATACTGATTAAGCACCCTAGAAATTGTCCTTATAAGCTAGTATAAGTTTGGATTTGAGCGATCATTAGTTAGACTTAGGGCTGCTGATCATACATTATAACGGAAGATTATGACTGTTCATTTAGAACTTTACCTAGATTGAGAGTATCATGGGCCTCCTATTGGCAAAGTAAAAGGAAGGGCATAGTTCACAGTTCTTAAACTCGTATTGCTGGAAGGGACTCCCTTGTTTTATAGATGAGGAAACGGTCCTAGGGAAGTTAAAGTACCTGGGCCAGGGTCACACAAATGAGGGTGAAGTAAAGCCAATTTCGCCCTTCACTTGATTTTCTGTTTTCATCTACTTGGACTAGCCTTATAAAATTGCTCCATTTCTCTTTGTGTGACTAAGTTTTGTAGAAAGTTGAAACTCTTAATAGCTTGCTTTTGGTCTCAATTTTTAAAAACGCAACCCTACTACTGTGATACATGGAATATATAATTTTGAAATTGAATCAAGACTTTCTTAATGGTCAGTTTTGTAATTCATATAAGCAGCTGAGGGAAGTCCAGGGGAGGAACAACTCAAGGTTAGGTTACTTTAGAGTTGTTCTGGTTGCTTTCTCTTTCTGGTCCCCTAAAGGGTATTATTAGAATTGGCTTACATTGTGGGAAATATATTTCAAGGGGAAAAGTGTTTACAGTTACGGCTGGACTCACTGTGTTCTGTGTTTTGACTCTACCCTTTGATTTTGATAGATGACTATCTTATGAATTTAGGAGCGGAAATGAATGACATAGCAACTATAGAGGGCCAAGTTTTTAAAAAGAGTCAACTGAGACTACATTACTAAAGATATTCTATTATCAGAAAGTTGCAAAGATCATAACTAATGTAGGAGAATCAAGGGAGGAAGTGCTTTTGGCCCCTAATGTCTTTAATTCTGTGCTATTTCTCCTAACAAGGCCCTCCTCTTGGCCCACCTCTTTGATCTCATCTGGAAGTATTCTTTGCCCCTGTGCACTTCATTCCAGCCACGCTGACTTTCTTTTATTCCTCCAACATGCCAGTCTCATTCCTCTCTTTGGGGCTGCACTTAACCGTTTTCTTGCTGGGATATTTTTCTCCCAATCTTCATGTGGTTGACTTCTTGTCAGTCAGGTCTCACCTTAAATGTCACTTCTTCTGAGAGGTCTTTCTCTGACCAACCAACCTAAAATAAGCCACCTACAACGCTATCACATCTCCTTTTTATTTTCTACATAGCATGTATTGCCAGCTTAAAAAAAAATACTTGTTTAGAGACGGTCTCCTCATTCCCACCCCTAGAATGTAAATGCCGTGGGAAAAGAAACTTTGTCTGTCTTGCTTACTCCTGAATTCCCTGTGTCTAGAACAGTATTTGGCACAAAATAAGCACCCAATAAATTCTTACTGAGAAAGGCAAGTGGGTTTAGAATTAGGGGCCTTAGATCTGGTCGTGGCACTGCCTCTAACTCACTGTTCAGTCTTGATCAAGATCCTTTCTCTCTTTGGGACTCAGTTTTCTCATCTATAAATGAAAGCATTAAGGTAGATGATCTCTAAACTCCCTACAAGCTTCAATATACATACTATGAATCCATGAATACAAGTCCTACTATAAGCCATGAAGGAATCCTGTAAAGTTTGCAACAAAATAATCTTTGTTATTTAGTTCTTCCAAGTCATGCTTTGGAAAGTGGGAAAATACTATTTGTCTAAAAGCAGTGGGAGGCTGGTACTAGCACCAGGCCATCAAGCCCTTGAAAAACCCCCTATGGCACCTGTTGCCCAAATACTCGGTACCTGGCTAGTTCCTGGGCTTGCTTCATGGTTTCCTCCAGGGCCAGCCTTGCTGCTTCCTGTTCCTTTTGCCTCTTCTCCTCTGCCTCCAGAGTCTTCTCTTCTGCTTCCCGTTTCCGCCGCTCGTACTCTAACCGCTCTTCTTCAGCCATTTCCATCAGGCGTTTTTGTTCTTCTGCTAACTGCATTTCCAACTCCTTCTGCCTTTGCTTCTCTGCCTCTGCAAAGTAGAAAAGAGGGTTGGTTCAGCAGGGATGTTATTATTGGGGAAAAGAATTTTGTGATCTAACACTCAAGTCTGCAATTACCAGGTCCTCTGTGGGGATTACTTTGAGGTTAATTTGCTAATTTAAGAGTCTTTTATCAGGCACCACAGTACATGGGTGGTGCAAGGTGTTAATGTGCTCGACTGCTGTCTGAAAGGTTGGAGGTTCAAGGCCACCCAGAGGCACCTCAGAAGAAAGGCCTGGCAATCTACTTATGAAAAATCAGCCATTGAAAACTCTGGAGCACAGTTCTACTCTAACACACATGGGGACTCCATGAGTTGGAGTCGAGGTGATGGCAACTGGGTACTGGTTATCAAGCAGTGCAATGCACTGTGCAATTAATAGAAAACCTTCGAGAAGAATTTTCCAGTGCCTGGTGTGCTCATGGGATGGTATGCAGCTGAGTTGGGGAGGAGTGTCAGATCCAGGTCTGGAGAAACTGACCTGTGTGAAGAACCAGAACCAGAAGGTGGGCCACTGAGTCATCTCCTGAAGTTCCCATCTCTTTCTCAAAAGTGCAGCTGGAGACATTCCATGCATAAACACCTGAAAGTCTGCCCTGAAGCTATCCAGATGTTTGTGACTCTTTCAGTCTGCCAGGGAAGGAAGCAAGACGCAGGGCTGTGTCTCCAACTTAGGCAGTTCCTGTTGTTTGTTGCTGTCAAGTTGATTCTTACTTATGGTGACTCCGTGTGTGCAGAGTACAACTGCCCCATAGGATTTTTAAGACTGTAACCTTTTGGAAGCAAATTGCTAGGCCTGCCTTCCAAGGTGCCTCTTGTGAATTGGTTCGAACTGCCAACCTTTCATCTAATAGGCTAATAGTCAAGCGCTTACCTGTTTGCTCCAGCCAGGGACTCCAGGGCAATGTTGAAAGGGCAAAGGAAGGGGTGGGATCCTAATTCAGGAGATTATTGAATTTCCGTAAGCCAGTCTTTCCTTTCTGATTCTGATTTTCTATCAGCTCACTATTGTTAGCTGTCGTGGAGTTGGCCCCCCAACTCATATCACACGTAATACAGGTAGTCCCTAATTTGCAGCAAACCGTACTTACGACCAGTTTTTTTTTTTTTTTTTTTTGTACTTCTTATAATGTTGCAGTGCATAATTTGCTGATATTGTCATTCTCAGGTATTCACTTGCAGATGTTCAATTTTGTGATTTACTATTCAAAATACTGCCGTATAGGAGGTTATGGCTTGGTCTACAGTGAAGTCACTGTCTGTGTCGGGAGTTGTAATGGATAGAAAGTTGGGCAATGTTCAACACTAATGAATACGACAGTTGAACTGGGCACGCGCCTGACAACCATTGCAAGTCCTACTTCATTGTTATGACACTGACACCGACTTCATTGCAGACCAAGCCTATAGTGTGATCTTATTCAGCATTTCATAATGTAAGAAACATCAGTTGTTAATTTGAGGCTGAGTTGTTCAAGTTTCTCTAACACCTGCACTGCTTATACCTCCAACAATATATCTAGCAAAAGAAGTCACGCCACTGCAAGTTCTAACCCAAAAACAAGGTGAGGGAGGCTCTAGTGCATGGACGTAAAGATGAAGATTATTAAGGCCTATGATAATAGGAAGAAAGTTGGCTGAAACAGCATGAGAAACGACTGTCTCCTTTGACCGTTTTGACAGTGACTAAGGATAAGAATAGGATTTTGGAGGCAGTAAAGGGAGCAATTAGTATAAAATCAACAATTTTAACAAAGAAGAGGCAAGGGCCAATCCACGAGATGGAGAAGCTGTTGATGATTTGGATAGAAGATGAAATCCAGAAGAGTATTCCTATGAGTTTACTGACAATTCAAAGTATGCAGCCTTTTTGAAAACCTGAAGGAACAGCAAGGAGAAGACTACCCGGAGTACTTAAATGCCAGCAAGTGCTGGTTTCATCGCTTCAAATGCAGATTTGGCTTACATAACGTACATATAACTGGAGAAGCAGGAAGTGCCAAAGTTGAAGTCGCTAAAAAATTCAACAACGAGCTGGACAAGATAATACAAGATGAAGGGTATCTACCAGAACAGATTTTCAACGTGGTCAAAAAAGGCTTGTTTTGGAAAAGGATGCCAGAACAGACTTATATTTACAAAGAGGTGAGGTTGATGCCTAGTTTCAAGGCATTTAAAGACAGAACCACGCTGCTGCTTGGAGGAAATGCTGCTGGATTAAAATTTTTTTTTGTTTGCCATTCTGAAAACCTCCAGGCATTCAAAAACATTGACAAAAATAAGCTGCTGGTCTACTACAGGAGTAACTCCAAGGCCTGGATGAGAGGATTGTGTTATTTGAAGCTGGTTTTTAAATTGTTTCATCCCAGAAGTGTGTGCCTCCTGCCTTGGAAAGAGCATCTCTTTCAAGATTCTGCTGCTGCTTGACAATGCCCCAGGACATACATCCTCCTCAATGACCTAAATGATCTATAGGTATTTACCTCCAAATACGACAGCTGTGATTCAGCCTGTGGATCAAGGTGCAATCGCCACCTTCAAGCCATGCTACCTATAGACTATGTTTGCTCAGGCAATAAATGGAGGTACAGTAACATTATGCAATTTCTGGAAGAATTATAATATTTTGCAGTGTATCTGAACATTGCACCTTCCTGGGAGGAAGTTACAGGAAAATGCATGCAAGAGATGTAGAAAAAATTGCTGAGTTATGTGAACATGCTCCAAGCATGTGATTAAGATAATAAGATGGAAGAGATTGGTGGAAAAATCATCTATATGGCAAGAATGCTGAATTTATAACTTGTTATTGCCGGTGTGGAACCAGGGCTTCAAACCGGTTTTAAATGGTTCGGTCAGGGCTGATGGAAACAAGGCAGGGCTTCAAACCAGTTCAAAGTGGTTCAGTAATGGCTGATGGAAACAAGGGCAGCATGTGCCTTACTACCAACCAAATCTCTTGCGTTTCGGCTTTTGACCCAAGCAGGAAACAGGCAGCGGTGCCCTATTCAGAGATGGCGGCCAACCTCGCTACTTTGAATGTGTGTTGTTCTCCACAGTCCGGCCAATAATCCAATCTCCCACATCGGGAAACTTTCAGGGGCCAGTTATCCAATCTCCTGCATCAGGAAACTTTCAGGAGCCGACATGTAAGAGATTTGGTCGCTATGCAATGCATATGCTGCCCTTGTTTCTGTGAGCTATGACTGAACCACTTTGAACCAATTCAAAGCCCTGCCTTGTCTCCGTGGGCCATGACCAGACCATGTAGAACTGGCTCGAAGCCCTGTGTGGAACATCTCACAGATCACAAAGAAGGGGAATTGACGGATCAGGACTTAATTAATTTTGAAGAGGAAAGAAATGCTGAAGAAGAAAGAAATAATGAGGAAGATGAAGGAGAGAAGTTGTCAAAAAATTTTACAGTGAAAGGATTAGCTGTTTTTTTCTAGACTAAATCAGGGCTTCAGTTGCTTGAAAACAGGGACCTCAACGCTGATGGCTTTGCTAAAGTTGATAGACAGATTCAGGAAGCAGTGAGATGTTACCGTGAAATATACGACAAAAGAAAGAAAAGGACCATACGGACAACTCTCACTAATTTTCTGACTAGAAATGCCATCCTCATTCCTAGGGATAATCCAGATGATCCAGAACTTTCCACAAGTGGAGTTATTACTGCAGCTGACAAAATGCCAACATCATCCAACTCTTCTTCATCGTCAGAGTAAATTTTTATGATCTGTGTATTTTTTATGTATGTATATATTAAAATATAGCCCCCAAAGACAAATAAAGACTGGATTTATAAAGATACAGATAATAAAAGGCAATAATAATGAAAACTAAAAAGGAAAAAGAATGAGGTATTCGACCTATGTCAGAACTGACTTATGACAGAGTCCTTGGAATGGAACCCTGTTAAAAGTTGGGGACAACCTATAATCACATTGAAAAAATAGCTTATACATTTACGGTGCTTCATACACTAAGGTGTAGGGTAAGAATAACTGGGGAGATGACAATGAACTCTCCACAGTGGGATAAAACTATTTCTATCCCAAGAAGACGGAAGATGCAGAGAGCTCCAGAATGCCCCTCACCAGCCCTCTCGGCCTCCTCCTGCTGCCTTTTCCTCTGCAGCTCTTGTAGTTTCCTCCGGAACTCCTGCCGCTGCTGGGTTCTCTCCTGGGCCGCCTGCAACTGCAGCCGCTGCTTTCTCTCCTCCTCCTGCCGCTGCCGTTCTTCTTCAAGCCTCTGTTTCCTCAAGCTGAGAAAACACGCAAGATGGTCAGGGAAATGGCACAAACACTGGGGCATCCTTGTAGGACAAGCCAAAGGCAATGCCCCTAGGGGAGGCTCTGCAGCCTACAGGCCAGATGCAGCATCCTATTCAGAAGAGACTCAGTTTACTAAGGAAAGCCAGGACTGCAGAGCGGAGGCAAGAACACAATAACCTTAGAATTAGAAGCCTGAACTTTAATACACAGCTCTGTGCTCTGTGGTAAACCGATAAAAAACCAAACCTGTTGCTGTCCAGTTGATTCCGACTTATAGTGACCCTACAGGACAGAGTAGAACTGCGCTATAGGGTTTCCAAGGCTGAAATCTTTACAGAGGCAGACTGCCACATCTTTCTCCTGCAGAGTGGCTGGTGGGTTCCAACCTCCCGGCCTTTTGGTTAGCAGCTGAGTGCTTAACTAACTGTGCCACCAGTGTAGTGATTGTAAATTCTCAGGGCCTCATTTTCTATTTTTACAAAATGGATTTTTGAAACCCCTGCCTAACAAGGTTGTTGTGAAGATTAAATTAAATAAGACCTGTGAATGGATCTAGCGCAATCCAGGCAACGTGGCAGGGGCTCAACAATGTTTGTCAGATTTAAATTTCAAAGCCCTCCCAGGAAGATCCCATGGACATCTGTCTGGAGTAACCCATTGCATCTTATCCTTGGTCCAGGTTGTTCCTAGGTTAACTGGGGATAGAGGAAAATGTGACATCCTTATGCCGTTTTACATCAGGGCGTGAACCTCAGAACCAAATTTTGCCCTAGTAGAGGTCATCATCCTGGCCTCTCCGGCTGCCCGACCCACCGGATCTCCTCTGCGTGTCTCTGCTGCTCCAGCTCCAGCTCCTCCTTCATCTTCTCTGCCCTCTCCAGCTCCTCCTGCTGGAGCCTCCTCTGCTCCTCCTGCTCCCTCCTCTTCCTCTCCACCTCCAACCTTCTCATCTCGGCCTTCTCTGCTCGCAGCCTGTCCCGGGAAGCTTTCTCCTGCTCTCTCTTGGCGAGGAGGGCCTAAGAAACGGGAGTATAAGAATACTAAGAAGGGCAAGGGTCAGTGTTGTGATCACAGGTGGCCTTGTCTCACCACTGAGCTCTCCTCTGCTCCAGACAGAGATGGAATTATAAAGCAGAATCTACACTCTGACCACGGCTGCATAAACTCTGGTGGAGCAGCTTGGGCTGTGGGGTCGCACTGACAGAGATTCAAGTCTCTCTTGCTAGGTTCGGGATTTGGGGATCACAACTTAATTTCTCTGGTAATTGTCTTCCTCATAGAACTGCTACTGGGATTAACCGAAATAGTGAAAGTGCCAGCATAATGATTGGTAAATCGTATAGTCTGGAGTTCTCAACCCTAGCTGCACTTTAAAACTGCCACAAAACAAAAAAACCAAACCCCATTGCTGTGGCAGTGATTTGGACCCATAATGACCCTACAGGACAGAGTTGAACTGCCCCACACGGTTTCCAAGGCTGTAATCTTTACAGAAGCAGACTGATACATCCTTTTCCTGATGAGTGGCCGGCCAACCTTTCGGTTAGCAGCCAACCGCTCAATCACTAGGCTCAGTTTAGAGCCACTCAAGGAGTTTTTAAAAACTACCTGCGGCCAGGACCCCAATCCCCAGTCCAATTAAATGAGAATCTCTAGGGGGGAGAGGCCTCCAAGGGTTTAAAAGCTCCTTAGGTGATTCTAATGTGAAGCCAGGCCTGCAACCTGGTTCTAGATAAAGGCTATTTTACCAGGGGCAGTCTTAGGTTCAGATGTCAGTCTCAAATTTAATCCGTACACACCCACTTTTTCAATGAAAGGTTGTTCTCTCAGTGTATGTGAAAGATGTATTAGCTTTCTTTGTTCTCCGTACTGCGTCCTCCTCAGTCAGAAATACGCTCATAAGAGGAACTTTGAAGGGTAGCTCTTCTGTAGGAACTCTGTGTATCAACCTGAGGTGAAGCTTGCTTTCTTTTTAGCCTTTACAGTGGCAGCCTGGTACTGGAGATTGATGATAAATCTACAAAATTCTGATTGTCTAGCAGGCACAAAAACGTTCTGCCCACAGATTAAAATGTTTACCTGCTCTGCCGAACAGAATTCCTTAATCTACGCAGCTGGGAGGGATTGAGATAGAGGAAAAACTTTCCTGAAATCTTTTTTGGAAGACCATGGGCTGTAAAATAAATAAATAGATAATTTAAAATAGACAAGCGACCTGAATTTGGAGTTAAAGGACCTGAGTTTAAGTCTTGGTTCTACTACTCAGTGGTTTTACAGTTTCTAGCAACTGACAGCTACTGCCTTTGAGCCTCGTTTCCAGGCCTGTAAAATGGGGCTAATCATATCTGGTTTCACAACTGTAGTTGTAAAGATTAAATGAGATTCAGCAGGGTTACACCATATACACATGTAACTTATGTAAATTTAACTATACTGGTTTAGCTATGGGTACATTTTTGGAGTTCAAAGATTTTTTTTTTTGGTACAACCAGACCCCTAAAATGCAGTTCAACAGTTCACCTCGGTTGAAGAAATAACAACCTATTCCAACAGCAGAGGAAACACAGGCTGTGTTGATCTTATTGAGAGATGACGTATCTGTATGGTGTACTTTTTGGCTAATTGCAGAGATTTTCAAGGGTAATTTTCCTTAAATTTTTCCTTAAATGCCAACATTAGAATCTAGGCCCCTGAAACGATGTGACTCTTCTAGGCAAGAGCACCTTGTAAAAGCAGGTGTCTGTGTATAAGCTGTATGTGGTCCAGCTGTGTGCCACAGAAAAGCAGATTAGGAAAGGGGGACTTTCCATTGCCTTTGGGAGGAAAGCAATGGTGAGGAGCCATCGAGCTGCAAGCCAAATCAAGGATATGTCATATGTGCTCGGCTCTGATGGCCAGTATCTACCTTCCACTGTAACTATGAGCCCTGCACCTCTCACAGATGGATGCTGTGCCAGCTTCCTGCTCTTTAAGTAGTGGGTACATGCCCTGGCAGTTTGGGAGCTTCACAGAATGCATCATGTTAGAGGGGCTTAGCTACACTGTGTCTTTGATCCGGTCTGCCTTCTTAAAAGTGCCTGAAGTTACTAAAGTACAAAAAGTAAAACTATTATATAGTAGACATGTTTCAGTGACTGTAATAAAAATAGGAAGAGTCCCTGGGGTGGTGCGAACAGTTAAGTGCTCTACTACCATATTTTTACACAAATAATGAGTGTGTTACATGTTTTCTTTGCCAACTACACTCTCCTCCCCTGCAAGGTATTTTTGTAAGCACCCTATGCTATTTTTTTTCCTACATGTTGCTGTAAAAAAATTAGCGTAGTGTGTTTACAAAAATACCTCGTTTGGGGAGGGTGCAGTTGGCAAAAAATATATAACACGTGCGTTATTTGTGTAAAAATAGAGTACTCAACCAAAGGTTGGCGGTTTGAACCCACACAGAGGAACCTTGGAAGACAGGTATGGTGATCTATTTCTGAAAGGTCACAGCCTTGAAGAGCCTGTGGAGCAGTTCTACTCTTCACATGTGGGGTCGCCATGAGTCAGAATCGACTCCACAGCAGCTAACAACAACAACAATATAAATAGGGGCAGTTTTTCCCACATCTGCAGTTACACCAACCCTACCCGGCAAGGGTCATCATGGTTTCTCTCTTCTTCAGATTCCAAGTTTCCAGTGACAGTTACAGTCTGGGTGGGCGATGATCTTCCATCTATAGAAACTTGGCTCTCCTGAGCATCATACTTGGGAGAAAGCCAAGAGTCCTCCACAATGGAGCTTGAAAAAAAGAAACCTCTATCTGAGGTGGCTTCTGTTTCCTCAGAGTTAATGACATCAGGCCCACTCAGCTCTGCTATCTCCAGATTCCTTTCCTTTCCCTTCTTTTTCCTTCTGGCTCCTGGTTTTTTTTCTTTGGGGATTAGCTCTGACTTCTTTTCAGCCTTTGGTTCCTTTGACTTTCCTGAGGAAGAAAATTGGGGACAGAGGTATAGCTGAGGTAAGTAAAGAACTACCATGCATCCTCTTCAGTGATTTTTATTTTTAAATTGTACTTCAGGTGAAGGTTTACAGAACAGTTTCTCATTAAACAGTAGTACACATATTGTTTTATGACATTGGTTAACAACCGCACGACATGTCAACCCTCTCCCTTCTCGACCGTTTTTTCTTTTTTTTTTTTTTGGTGAAAATATGCATAGCCAAAGATACACCATTTCAAAAATTTCTACATGCACAGTTCAGTGACATCGACTACGCTCTTCCAATTGTGCTGCTATTCTTACTTTAGATGAAGGTTTACAGAACAAAATAGTTTCTCATTAAACAGTTGGTACACATGTTGCCCTGTGACAATGGTTAACAGCCTCACTACATGTCAACACTGTCCTTACTCAACCTTGGGTTCCCTATCACCAGCTTTCCTGTCCCCTTCTGCCTTCTAGTCCTTGTCCCTGGACTGCTGTGCCTCATTAGGCCCATTTTGTTTTATGGAGCTGTCCAATTCCTCGCTGAACAGTAAACCTCGGAAGTGACTTCACCACTGAGCTAAAAGCGTGTCTGGGGGCCATACTCTCAGGGTTTCTCCAGTCCCTCTTCAGTGATTTTTAAGCCTCAGTGTGTAGCAGTATCACCCGGGATGCAGATTTCTGAGCCCCATCCCCATAGTCTGATTCAGTAGAAACCTGCATTTTAACAGCCACCCCAAGTGCTTTGAGAAAGGTAGTTCACTGGGATCAAATTGACAACGGTAACTAGAAGGTTAGATAGGAGCCTTAGGGGGCAGATTTTTTCTGTTAATGGGGGAGCAACAACTCAGAAAAGGAGGGTGAGAATGGTTGCACAACTCGAAGAATGCAATCAGTGCCACTGAATTGTATGTGTAGAAACTGTTGAATTGGTGTATGTTTGCTGTGTATATTTTCAACAAAACAACAAAATAAAAAATTTTTAAAAAGAAAAAAAAATAAATGTAGTCCACAGACCACCCTTTGAGAAACTGCCATATCCTATTCAGATCGACTGCAACTCAGCAGTCTTGTTTCTAAAAAAGTTGTATTTCACCCTGACTTATGGTGGGGGCAAGACTCCTGGAGGGGAGACCTGCAGACACAGCTGGAAAGTCATGCGTGAGTCTGACTTGAGGTTGCAGTTTTGTAACCTGGCAGAGTTCAAGCTTTCCACACTCTAAGGACTCTCCCCACTCACCTAATGGGCCACAAATATTTCCTTTTCCCAGTCCTGCCAATGCAACCCAAATCATGGGCTACAAAAATGTAAACTCAGTAAGAGTTTAAAAAGCAAACCTTGAAAATAGATCTGGCCCAATGTCGTCCTTTCCGACAGCCTGTGATTTGTTTGGAGGGTCTTCTAGTCATGTAGCCAGGAAAGGATGAGTGTAGGTTTTAGGCTACAGAAAGTCTTCAGAAGGGTAGGAATCTGAGTTCCTTGTAAGGCTTGTAAGAGGGAGATTGCAACGTAGGGAACCGAGAAGGAAAATGTTAGCTGGGGTGACCATTCAGAGCTTCTTGCAAACCCACTCCCCCATAACCTATGATTCACTGCATCATGAATTAATAACTATTTAATATGATTAACAATTATTAATTCATTATGTTAATTAATTAATTATTAATTAATAATGCAGTGGTAATAGCATGTGTTTGGAGTCAAATAAGCAGGGACAGACCCTGGGTTCACCACTTACTGTTTGATCTTAGGCAAGTCATTCAACCTCGCAGCCTCAACTGCTACATGAATATAACTATAGTATATTTATGTGGAGCACTGGTGGCTAATGGTTAAGACTTGCTCAGGCTGCTAACCAAAAGGTCAGAGGTTCAAATCCACCAGTTGCTCCTTGGAAACCCTATGGGGCAATTCTACTCTGTCATATAGGGCCACTATGAGTCAGAATCGACTTGATGGTACTCAACAATAACATATATTCATGGAGATGTTGTAAGGATTTCATTAGATCATATATGCAGAGCTCTTAATACTGTAGGCATTCAGTAAATGGAGTCCCTGGGTGGTGCAAATGGTTAACACACTCAGCTGTTACCCAGAATGTTGGAGGTTTGAGTCCACCTAGAGATACCTCGGAAGAAAGGCCTGGTGATCTACTTCTGAAAAATCAGCCATTGAAAACCTGATGGAGCATAGTTCTACTCTGACGTGCATGGGGTCACCATGAGTCGACGTCAACTCGACAGCAACTAGTTTACTATTCAGTAAATTGTTGCTGCTGTTATCATCATCGTTGTCATGGACTGAATTGTATCCTCCCAAAATATCTGTCAACTTGCCTGGGTCACGATTCCCAGTGTTGTATAATTGTGTACCATTTTGTAATCTGATGTGATTTCCTAATGTGTTGTAAATTCCATCACTACGATCTAATAAGATGGATTAGCGGCAGTTATACTGATGAGGTATACAAGATTGGATAGTGTCTTAAGCCAATCTCTTTTGAGATATAAAAGAGAGAAGCGAGCAGAGACGCATGGGAACCTCATACCACCAAGAAAGCAGTGCTGGGAGCAGAGCGTGTCCTTTGGACCTGAGGTTCCTGTGCTGAGATGCTCCCAGACCAAGGGAAGACTTATGCATCACAAGGATCTTCCTCCAGAGCCTACAGAGAGAGAAAGCCTTCTCCTGGAGCTGATGCCCTGAATTTGGACTTGTAGCCTACTGGACTGTGAGAGAATAAACTTCTCTTTGTTAAAGCCATCCACTTGTGGTTTCCTGTTATAGTAGCACTAGATGACTAAGACAATCATCATCATCATTTCCTCTCTTGGTGATCACAAGCCTCTAGGCTCCCTGGTTTCTTCCATCCCTTTATTAAGATATGGACACAAAGTAAAGCAGCAACAGTGTCTTAGTTGTGGTAGTCAAGGAGACTCAGAACCAGGGCTTCAAACCCATTAGTTTTGGTTCAACCTGCTGAGAATTTGCATTTCTAACAAGTTTCCAGAAGATGCTAATACTGCAGGTTAGGGACCAATTCTGAGAACCACTAGTAGAGCAGTGGTTTTCAAAATTTATTATATAGATATAAAAATCACCTGGGAATTTTGTTAAAATATAGATTCTGATTCAGTATATCTGTGGTGGAAATGCAAATTCTCAGCAGAGTTTCGAACTGGAATGAACCGGTTTGAAGCCCTGCTTAAAACAGAGCTTGTCCCACAGGGTCCATACTGGTTCTCTTTGTCACCTCCCACCCCCACCCTTTAGGAATTTTCCCTGTATCATTCCTTGAAAGCACACTCCCTTACCAATAGCAGCCTCTGCTCCACCATGAATCTTTCCTTCTCTCTCCCATTTGGGTGCCTTGGATTCTTCTGTTTTGGTTCTTTTCTTTCTCTTGGATTTGTCAGTGAATTCCCTCTCCTAAAGGTGAGAAATTAAGGTGGGGGACCATGATACGTGTAGGAAACTAATAAAACCCGTCAAAGGAGGATTATGTTGAACAAGGTAACAGAATGAAATTCGTGTGAGTTCCAGATGAAGCAGAAGAAAGAGGTCTTAGAGAGTGTGTAGCCTTCGGGGACAGCCTAAGGTTCAGCCTTTGATTTAAAACTGCTAGGTATATTTTCACAGGAGAAAAGAGGAATAGAATACACTTTATGGTCCGCCTCATTTTTTTGATGCTAAACCATGGTCTCCAGAGCTGGATCAAAGTGAAGCAGTTTTCACCTTTGATTGATTGGTGTTGCCATGATTAACGGTTAGCTATTTTAAATCAAAGCCAGCTTTGTTCACTGCTGCATCATTTTGCTAACTTTCTGGAAATCTCAGACAGATGACCCCAGTCATTTCAGTCTTCATCTATCCCTATGGGCCAAGACAACATGGAGGTTCCTCCTAGACAGGATGGCAGAGTGGGGCCACAGCTACCCATTCAGTACCTTTGTAGGAATTAGAAATAGGACCCTCATCCCTCAGGTGGATGTAGCCCCATCTTGGGGTGCAAGGCATGGTGAGTGGACGACAGGCTGGATTTCAGCCCACACTTGCCCCCTTGTATATTAAGTGATCTACACAACTGTACATGGTAACCCTGATGGTGGGCTTGATCCAGATTGGACTTTCAGACTAAGCTCCTGGGTATTCACACTCACATTACTGATGCTGGCTGGTGTCTGCTGGTTGAACAGTCTTGTTTCAGCCTTCCCTTCTCTTTCTCCTGGAAGACGAGATGTATCCACGGCATCTAACCTCTCTTCTGACCCAGGTCCATGCCCTGGAAGTCCTCTGTGCAGATGATGTACTTCATTGTCTCTTTTCAAAGTGCCCCTTTGAAAAGAGCAAACCAACAGGACCAAACTCAAGAGAAAATTCTCTGGTGGACAAGGAGGGTGAGAAGTGAACCAGCGCTATTGGAGCGCCTATTCTGCACCAGGCCCTGTGCTGGACAATTTACCTCCTTTTTCAACACTTTTTTCTCAACATGTCTCTGAATAAGGGAGATAAGAAAGGTTGATTTTCACTTTTGGGGTTCTCTTGGGGGTAAATTCTAAAACTTAGGGGGCAGAGTAAGTACTAGTTTGTCTCTTTGGGGTTACATATTTATACCTTTAACTGAATAATACAGAATTATTTAACTGAAATTTCTTTTGTCAAAGGCTTAGCTGACAAAAAAAAAAAAAGACATTTAGGAAAGATTGTCTTAGGAACATGTAATCACTTTATGCTCTCTGAATTCTATTCTTGATCAAATTCAGCCTTCAAAAGGTCATATGCTAACATAGTTTGTAAAGACAATGTTCCGCATCCTACTTTGGTGAGTAGTGTCTGGGGTCTTAAAAGCTTGCGAGCAGCCACGTAAGATACAACTATTGGTCTCTTCCCGTCCGGAGCAAAGGAGCGTGAAGAAAGCCAAAGACTCAAGGGAGCAGTTAGTCCAAAGGAGTAACAGAGCACATGAACCACAGCCTACATCACCCTGAGACCAGAAGAACTAGATGGTTCCTGGCTACCACTACCGACCTCTCTGACTGGGATCACAACCAAGATCCTGGACAGAGCAGGAGAAAAATGTAGAACAAAAAATCAAATTCACAAAAAAGACAAGACTTACTGGTTTGACAGAGACTGGAGGAAACCCTGAGACTATGGCCCTCAGACACCTTTCTTACCTAGAACTGAAGCCTTTCCCGGAGACCACCTTTCAGCCAAACAATAGACAGGCCCATAAAATAAACAATACCTGAGAGGAACATGTTCCTTAGAACAATCAATTATAGGAAATCAAAAGGACAACATTTGCCCAAAAGAAGTATGAGAAGGCAGGAAGGGGTAGAAAATCCAGACAAAAGGAGACAGGGAACCCAGGGCAGAAACGGGGAGAGGGCTGACACACTGAGGAGAATGCAACCAACATCATGGAACACTTTATGTACAAACTATTGAATGGGAAACTAATTGGCTCTGTAAGCTTTCACCTAAAGCACAAAAAAGAAAGAATTTGGTAAAGCTTAAAAAAAAAGGTCATGTGCTGTGTTAGCTTTATCCCTTGTAGAATTGCTATCACTGACTGTGACCTGAGGATAACTGACTTATGCCCTCCGGGTAAAAAGACTACTAAGAAACAGTCATGGGCACTTCAGTAACAGCAGCAGCAGCTCCTAGTGCCTGCTGTGTGCCAGGTCTGATTCTGAGCATTTTATATTTTGCTAAATCGTATTATATTTACTATGCTGTCCTAGCATATGGCCTTACTGTAGAAGCTAGAGAAATATTTGTTGAATGAGGTAAATGGAATTTCCTGTAAATATATATATGAGTCTTTAAATCATTCAATGTCACTCTATGAAAACCCACAGAAGAAGTATCCTTTAGAATTTAGTGCTAGAAAAAAACTTTATTTTCCCTGAGGAATAGGTATGCTGCAAAGCAGAACCAAAACTGATCATGTTGCTCTTTTGCTCCTTTTTTTTTTTTTTTTGTTATGCTTTCATCATTCAGGAATTTTTGTGTCAAGTCTGAAATTCAGTTACAATGACTATAATGACTCTTGTGAAGTGTTTGTGTTCTCTCCTTCTTTTTTTCTTGTTCTTGATTTTAAAAAAAATTCTTTTTGATTATTTCATCTCTTTCTTTTATTGGTGGTGGTTGTAAGCGGTTTAAATTTGTTGTGGAAAGAGATGAGGTATACAAATTACATAACGGAATTCCTCAGGTAGTACTTCAGCCCTGCAAGCACACTTCTCCCTTTGTTCCTGGGGCATGCGTGGCCTTTTTGACCCATGAAGGGATCCTTAGGCCCCAGGGCAGGTGAAGGCAGGTTCTCTCACCATGGCTCATGTTGTTGTGGAGTCGATTCCTACTCATAGTGACTCTATATGACAGAGTAGAACTGCCCCATAGAGTTTCCTAGGCTGTAATCTTTACAGGAGCAGATCACCATGTCTTTTCTCCTGTGAGCTGCTTGTGGGTTCAAGCCACCAACCTTTTGGTTAGTAGCCAAGGGCTTAACTGTTGCTACAGCAGGGCTTCTCAAGGCTCATGGGAGATCACAATTGGCAAAGGTTCAAAGTGGAACGGCACCAGATGCTACCGCCAAAGAGGGTTTGCTTCAAATGTCTGGGCCTCACTGGTTGAGCTGGGGAAGTCAATGACCTAATATCTATTAAAAGGGCCTGGCACATAGTAAGCACTCAGTGGAAGTTGGCGATTATTATGCCCAGAGCTGAGTATATGCTGAGAGGAGAAACCAAGGCTTGAGTTGACAGACCTCAGCTTTCTAGGTGTCTCTGTAGATCTCAGATATCTGGACAAATGGAAAAAGCCACTTCCATATTGTTACAGTTAAACGTCCCTTTTTACTCATCCAGCCAAAGAATTACAGCACAATATGATTATATTATATTATATTACCCAAGAATCTTTGGTTCTTAGACAACAGTTTAATTCCAGCTGTCACAGCATGCTGTCAGAGTACGTGCCTCCCAGAAAGAAACAGAAATTAAATTAATTAAAAGCAAAATAAAAGCAGAAAAGCCCATGTCATTACAACTTCATACACTTACACTTTTTGGACAGAGTGTGGCTCAGGGGCCTCGATGTGCTCAGGTGGGGAAGTGCTGAGAGGGCCAAGGGTCATACTCCTTGGCTCTGGGTCTGTGAAAACAAAGAGCATCCTCAATTAGCAAAAGGGCACAGGCAATGACCACAGGAGGAGATGCAAGAATGGGAAAACATCTACCTGGTGAATAGTCAAAGGCATGCAAATGAGAACAATAGGTACGTTATACCTAGAAATTAGCCAACACTGCAGAAATCAGTGCTGGCATACAGCAAGTGACATCAAAATTAGTAAGACCCTTTGGGAAAGCAATGTGACAGTACGTATCAAGAACCAGAAAAATGGCCCCAGCCTTTGATCAGGAATCTTACTCCTGGGTATTTATTAGAAGGAAATAACTCAAAAGAAGAACCAAGCTTTTTGTGCTGACTTACTTATTGCAACATTGTCATTAATAATGAAAAACTGGAAACAGCCTAGCAATGGAAGACTGGGGAAGTAATTTATGGCACATTAATTCTATGTGAAAAATTATTTTAAGAAGATACATAAGCAACATGGAATATATGATACGACAGGTAAATGTAAACTATAGAATAGTGCGCTAGAACTCAGTAAACTATGTATGTAGATGGACAAAAACTAGATGAGGAAACAACAGACCGAAATACTATGTTCGAGTGGGAGGTTTGTGTGTGTTTAAATTTTTCTTATGGTTATAATAAATTCATTTAAAAAAAAAGTTACCCTGTGAGGAAGGCTTATGCAGGCCACACAGCTCTCTTTGATGGGTGCTCTGAAGATCATATTGGGTAACTCCTTAAGAATGAGAAGAGCCGTAGATCTTTGCATGCATTTATTTCTCCTTAATTTTGTTTATTTTAAGGTACTGTAACTTTAAAGGAGGACTTGAAAAGTTCACCTATCATCCCATTAGCATTAGTACTTTAATACTACAATTAATTCATCTTTCAGTGTTCAACATTTTTTTTCCAGAGCCTCTTTTCAACTTGAGTTCCCTTCTTCCGTTCTCAAACTTTATGGGTAGCATCAACTGTCTCACATTTCAACTTCCAGATTTTGGAGTGGGGACAAAGTTGTTAATGCACAAGACGGGGTTGTTCCTTGGAATTTATTCTGCCTTGGGTAATATGTGTAGAGCTCTGGTGGCGCAGTGGTTAAGAGCTCAGGCTGCTAAGCAAAAGGCTAGCAGTTCGAATCCCCCAGCTGCTCCTTGGAAACCCTCTGGGGCAGTTCTACTCTGTCCTATAGGGTGGCTGTGAGTTGGAATTGACCCAATGGCAACAGGCTTGGTTTTCGGTTCGGATAATATGTAATGTTAACAGAGAGTGACAGCTGATTAAAGTACCTTTGTAACAAGAGGAATTCTGTGAAGTTTTCTTTCCTTAACATTGATGGCTCAGGAAAAGCCGTCGCATTGAAGACATACATAGCTCTTCCCAACGATTTTGAACCTTGGAACAGGGCATGACAGTACCAGCAGAGGGCGCTTTTGTATTGACCAAAAGCTGAGGTTCTACGTTTGTGTAATTTCACCATTTTGATTAAAATTGAAACCCTGTCAGCTCTGGGATATGGACTACGGAAGGATGATTTTTTTTTTTTTTTTCCTAGTAAAGTAACCTAATGTTTAGGAAGTATCGGAACAAACTAAGGCAGTTCTTTGAATAATAACTTACAACTTTCAACTGCTTAAAAAATCTGTAAAATATTTGAAGCATGCAGAGAATAGAAAAAATACTCTACAATGATCATCTGTGTACTTACACCTAGCTTTGTAAAATCTTAATATTTTGTCATACGAGATTCACATTTTTTCCTAAAGAAATAAAACATTTCAGATACAGTTCAAGCCTTCATTGTATCACTGTGCAATCCCATTTCCCTCACTCTCTCCCCAGAGTAACTACTATTTTAAATTCTGTATTTATCAGTCCTCATGCATATTTTTATACCTTTGCCACATATAAATAACCCATAAACAACACATGGTATTATTTTACATGTTTAAACTTTAAATAAATGGTATCGTTTATGTAACTTTGTAACTTGCTTTATTTTGCTTAACATTATGTTTTTGAGGTTAATCCATGTTAATACATGTAGCTTTCATTCATTTATTTCAAGCTGCTGTACAGTATTTCATTGTATGAACATACCACAATTTATTTATACTTTTTACTGTTGACTGTTTCCAATTTTTCGTAATTACAAACCGTGCTGCAATGAATCTTCATGGGTGAGTCCCTGATCATACATGCAAGAGTTTCTCTAAGGTATACATGGGAGTGGAATTGTTGGATTGCAGGATACATGCATCTGAAATTTTATTGGCTATTTCCATATTGCTCTGAATTTCTGACACTTCATATCCTCATCAATAATGAGTGTTTACAGACTTTTAAACTTTTGCTAATCTGATATATACAAAATGATACCTCTTTGCTGTTCTAACTTGAATTTTCCTGTTGAGTAGCAAGGTTAAACTTCTTTATGTATGGCCATTTATTTGAGTTTCTGCTTCTGTTAATTGCCTGTTCATGTCTTTTACCTGGAAGAAGTACAACCAGAATGCTCCTTAGAAGCAAAGATGGCAAGACTACGTCTCACATACTTTGGACATGTTATCAGGAGGATCAGTCCCTGGAGGTGGACATCATGCTTGGTAGAGGGTCAGCAAAAAAGAGGAAGACCCTCAACGAGATATAGTGACACAGTGGCTGCAACAATGGGCTCAGGCATGACAACAACTGTGAAGATGGCGCAGGACGGGGCGGTGTTTCGTTCTGTTGTGTACATGGAGTTGCTTTGAGTCGGAACTGACTTGACAGCACCTAACAACAACAACGACATCTTTTGCCTGTTTTTCTTTTTATTCGGTTGTCTTTTTCCTTACCTGCTTGTAGAAGTTCTCACTGTATTTGGGATACTAATCCTTCATTGGTTATATGCATTGCAGATATCCTCTTCTAATCTGTGGTTTGTCTTTTAACTTTGTTTATGCTGTCTTGTCAAAATCTTTAAATTTTAATACGGTCAGATTTATCAGTAAGTTTCTTTAAGGTTTGTGTTTTTGCATCATGGGTAAGAAACTTTTCCCTTTCCCAAATTCATAAAGACAGTCTCCTATATTTTCTTCTAAAGGTTTTGTTTCGCTTTTCACATTTAGATCCTGAACACACCTGACATTTATTTTGTATATTTTGTGAGGTAAGAATTTAAAAACTGGATAACCAGTTATCAAAATGACATAGTGAATAATAGCTCATCATCTCCCTACTGTTTTACAATGTCACTTTTGTCATATATCAAGTTTCTGTATATTGGTACATTTATTTCTGGATTCTCTATTTTCTTCTGTCTGTTCCTGAGCCAGTATCATACAGCCTTATTTATTGTAGCCTTGAAGTAATTTTTTTATATCTGGCAGGGCAAACTCTTCCACTTTGTTTTTCTTCAAACTTGTATTGGCTGTTTTTAGTCCTTCTATGTGAATTTTAGGATCAATTTATCATGTTCCACCAAAACCCCTGTTGAGGATTTTTTAAAAATCGGAATTGCACTGCATTTATAGGTCAATTTAGGGAAAATTACCATCTTTATAACACTGAGTCTTTCTGTCTCTGAACATTAAATATAGCTTTATATAGAACATTATATTTATTCAGGTTTACTTTTATTTATTTTAATAAAACTCTGTAATTTCTTCATGAAAGTCTCTCATACGTCTTTTTGTTAGATTTATTACTGTTGTTGTTGTTGTTGGGTGCCATCCAGTTGATTCCTACTCATAGGGACCCCATGTGTCAGAATAGAACTGCCCTGTAGTGTTTTCTTGGCTGTAATTTTGATAAGAGCAGGTCACCAGGTCTTTCTCCCACCAATCTTTTGGTTAGCAGCTGAGCCCTTGACTTGTGTGGCCCTGAGGCTCCTCAGATTTATTACTGGATTCTATATATTCCTACTGCAAATGTTATATTTAAAAATTACATTTTCATATGTTTAAATCTATGAGTTCACAAAAATAATTAAGAAAATAACTAGGTCCTGGGGAATCAACTCATTATGAAAACTGGTAAATAAAGGAAAAGAATTAAGCATTTATCCTGCCTTCCGATGTAAACTGTACCACTGAATAACTAAATAGTGGATGAGGAAAAGTTTCTCTTTAAAGGAGTTTCCTAACTAATAAACGAGAAAGAATGATACAATTTCAATATCACTATTTTGCAACCTTAAATGAATTAATGGTTCTCAGGTCGCTGGCATCATGAAGAGAGAGACAAGCAAATATCGTGCCTCCTGATGGAAGAATATAATACCCTCTTTGAAGTGGTCTCACCAAAAGGAAAAACTAAACCTGAATCTGATCAAGCCTCTAGATCCAAGTACTAATTTATAGGAAAAATAGAAGACAGAGAAATATGCTAAACTATACCATGAGGATGCAAGCAGCAAAATTTAGATGTGGAACCTCTGCAGATCAAGTGACTCAATTTCCTAAAAATAAATTAAAAGGGGGGAAGAAAAGAAATGGAGGAGATCCTATAAATTAATCGAGACTAAAAGGCCACATCAAGCAATTGCAAATAAATGCTAAAACAATTCTAATGTGAAACAATTAGAACTTTGAACACTGAATATTCAATTACATTAAAGAATTATTCTAATTTTTATGCGCAATAATGGTATTATGGTTTTTTCAAGAGTCTTATCTTTTAGAGATACACACTGAAGTATATGGGTAAAATGATATGAATCTGGAAATTTTTTTCAAAATGATATGGAAAGGGTGAAAGAGCTGGGGATATAGGCGAATGGTATTGGCTGAAAGATGGGTACATGGCATTTATTGTGCTGTTCTGTCGACTTTGTGTATGGTTGGGGTTTTCCATAATAACAATTACTTTTAAATTACATTTTAAATTGTGCTTTATGTTTTGAAACACAATTTATTTTTCTCCACAATTGATTCTTATGTATTGACCTGTATTTAGTAATTTTGCTGAATTTTTTTAATGATTTGTCTTTTAATGGCTTGTCTGTAGAGTCTCTTGAATTTTCCATGTAACTG